CCTCTGAGAGGCTCGGAGAGAAGCGAGGGAAAAAGATCCAAATAATTCTTTATTTTTACCTCCTTCCTTCTCTGCCATCTGTTTTTAGATGAAAAAATAACAGATGGAACTATAACCCTGGTTAAATAATAAACACTGTGCACAGTTTTGTTCAAAATGTGACTCTGATGAGCACTATTTCCTTAGGTTTGCCAGGCGAGAAAGGAGAAAAAGGCAATCCAGGTGTTGGAACTCAAGGACCCCGAGGCCCACCAGGATCTACAGGTAAAGTTGTTATGTTTGGGACACCTGGATTAGACCACTCTGACCCGCGTGCAAAGCAGCTCGGACCTGCATGGCTCTGTCCTCCACTTCTAAAGCATAAGCAGCAGAAGAGTCAGTAGTTTAGGCATCTTAACTGTCATAATTTTCTTACTATGTAATATGATGTTGTGATGTGTCACATGATGCTGTCATCAGTCACACAAGTATCTTCCTTTCCCCTGTGATAAACTGCTTCTCCAAACCCTTCTTTTTTAATGTTTTAATTATTTTTTTTCAGAGATGGAGCCTGGAATGGCAAAAAATTAATTTGGATTAATTGCATTTGTTTTCCCATTCCCTCAAGCACGTGCCTAACATTCTTTGACAAAGAAATGTATATTAATTAAGCACATTAATCACTGGGATTTATACTTAGCTCTTGAAAAAGCAAGAGGGGAATATCCAGGTCCTGTTGAAACAGGTGTAAAATCCTGTTGACTTTGTTAGGATATTCTGGCCATTAGGGCAGCAGTATCGAGGCACAGCGCTACCCAGAAGCTGGATTGAAAGGGGGTGTGTGAATCAAGAGCTGCGCAGGCATCCAGGGCTGTCCTTTCCCCGTGAAACTGCTTTTCTGAACGTCTGACACTTGGTGAAACATTTGCTCTAGTATGAATTTTTGTCTAAAAGCTGTCTCTGGCAAGAAAGACAAAGCAACAATCTGAGAGGAGCCTTGTTGGGAGCAGGGAAGGCTGCAGCCCTTCCCTCAGCTTGCCCAGGGGGATTGGAGCCAGGATGCCCTCTTCTGCTCAGGCTATCTCCTGGAAGTGTTTGGAGTTTTCCAAACACCAGGCCTGCCAAGGTGGCCTAAACTCCCTGCTTTTTTGAAAGATGCTACTCAGGTGTTTCATCTTCCTCTTCTATGCAGGACCTCCAGGAGAAAGTCGAACTGGCAGCCCAGGACCACCAGGATCTCCAGGCCCACGAGGTCCTGCCGGTCACACAGGACCCCCAGGCTCACAGGGTCCTTCTGGCCCACCAGGCTACTGCGATCCATCCTCCTGCGCTGGTTACGGCATGGGAGGTGAGTAGCCAGGAGCCAAGGCAGCTGCCGTTTGCAGAGGTGGGGGTGGCATTTTCTAACAGCCAAAGTAAGATGGAGGCTACTGGTGAACCTTGCGCTAAAATGTGGGAGCTCCCTAAAAACGTGTGTGTGTCCAGTGCTGCTGTACTTTGTGGGACTGCAGCATGAAGCGAAGGTGACCCCAGCGTAGTGACCAAAGGAAGTCCACCCTCTGATCCCAGCATGTAAAACAGATCCCACGGAGTGGGTTTTTGTCCTGTATGTGTTTGTGTAGTTGTACGAGCCTGCTCCATCTCAGCTGAACGGTCTGTGTGTTGAACCCCCACCTCCCCATGTTCGTCACAGCAGAGTTTTAATTTTCAAATGTGTTGCTCAACTTCCTCTTCCGTGTGCCCCCGAATGGCATGAGAGCATGACCCTTACTAAACCCCTAGTCGTGTAACCTGACACAGGGATGCACGTGTCCATCATTAACCAGTGAAGCAACCTGGAGAAAATGATTCTTTCTACATCTTCTCTGTGTCTTACTTTCCCGTCTTGGAGAGGCCCTGGGAGGAAGTTAACACAATTACCAAAACCTGGGTTGCCCAACCTAAAATCAAAATTTATTAGTAAAGCACTAGTTACTACAAGTGTTCCACACCAGGCGTATTTGTTTGATGTTGACGGTTTAATCTGCCCGCGAGCCGATTTGTATGTTTTACTTACCTGAATGTTTTTGTTGTCGTCTCTTCCTGTCCTCTTCTCCTCACTTCCACTCCCCGTTGCTCCCGTCCTGTTTGAAGGCCCATTCCCTTACAATGGCTACCAATCCAGAAGGTGAAAGGCTCATTCTGGTTCAGGTCTCATTTGGCTGAAGGTCAGAGATGGATGCTGAACTGCTCTCTGCTTTCCATCAAGGATATTGACTACCACTAATGAATTGACTAGCTGGTGTACATGCACTTAGCTTCCTTGCGCTGCTAAAAATGATTGCCTGACCCATTTTTGCCTGTTAATCACGTATTCTCGACTGTAACTGGAATAAGCTAAAGCAGGCAGATTGTGCAGTGTATAAGCACAGCGTTACAACTGGACATTTGACAGATTCTGGTGGTGGTTTCCAACTAACTTGGCTGTCTGTTGGTGGGTTTCCAATTGCTCTGGCTTATTAATTTTGTTAAATGTTTTCACTGTTCCTTTATGTGAATAAAAGATGTGTATTTAAAGATTATATATATATACTCACACACATTATATATATCTATATATAAAATGTCAATTTCCTAATGAGTGCTTTAATTTTCTACTCCCCTTCTCCTGTGTTAACCGTATGAATACTCTTGGTGGTGGTGGGTTAAGGTGGATACGGTGAGCCAACTGATCAAGACATCCCAGTAGTGCAGTTGCCACATAACTCCTACCAAATCTATGACCCCGAGGACCTTTATGATGGTGAGCAACAGCCGTACGTAGTTCACGGGTCCTACCCCTTATCATCCCCATACTCCCAGTCCTCCTATCCATCACCTCATCTTGCTCAACCAGAGTTTACTCCTGTCCGAGAAGAGATGGAAGCCCTTGAACTGAGATCCCCCGGAATTAGTCGCTTCACAAGGAAGATAGACAAAAGGAGCGTCAAGACTCCGCTACACAAAAGGGCGAATGGAAAAAAACCCTCTCAGTGAACTGTTTAAAAAAAAAAAAGGGAAACATTTTATGTGCATCAGTGTGTGGCCTTTTGTCCAGGTGCCTAACCTGTCATGGGAGATGTTTACAGGCTCTTGGATTAAAGGAGACAAAAAATGTACCTGACCAGCTGACACAACGAATAATGGTAATTTCCTTGCATGCCAGAAACCTTTAGTATGTTAGTGGGTTGGTGGTAGATGATGATGAAAGGTCACTTGTAGATCTTTCTCTGGAGTACTGTTCCATACACTAGTCAAAGTGTATCTAAAAAACCACATCTGGCTAGTTAGTGTATGTAGTGTACATTCAGAAAAGTTCATGTTTGGTTGTTTTTTTTTTTAATCCATGTTTTTCCAGCTGATTATGTTCTGTTAGTTTTGGATTAATTGCTTTACTAGCAGAGTAACCCGACTAAATGAAACAGCGAACAAGGCATAATCAGGTTTCCCTGAACCCAGCTATTACTTTTGTAAAGGAATCTTTCTTTAATGGAGTTGTTTTTTTTTTTAACCCACATTATATAAATTCACAAGAATGTTCCGTGGGAGCACACTGATAATTTATTGTGAACCTCTTTCAGTTCTGTTTTGTATGCAAATAAAAGTGGCAAGCTTTTATACGTTAATTCTGCATTTGGTTGATTTTTTAACTTGGAACAATTGTATAGATCTTTGGGGTACATAATTTATAAAGGAGAAAATACATTTTCCTTTTTCAACACTTTTGGGCAACAGTTTTATTTTCAAGGATATAGACACTTAGTATAAACAATATTGAGCCTTATTTTTTTAAATTATCTATGAACAAGTGGAGAGTGCACCTATGAGATGAGGTCCCAGCTCTGGCTGTGAGATTTTGCATAGTGCTGTGCCAGTCAAAAGCCTGGCAGGTATACTCACAAGGCAACTTGGATTGGCTAATGATGGGAGGAAGGAAAAACCCCAACCCAGCCACTTGAGGAGCACAAAGTAATTCATGATGATGTTAAAACAAACCAGATAGATGATAAAGTGACTCGGTGAACAGCACTATGGAGACCAAGCATCAAAGCAGGATTTCAAGTGGAAGCTCAGAAGTGCTCATTGAAGTTGAAAGCCTAGATTTGGAACACTTTTAATCCAGCCCTATAAAGATGATGGCAGGTGGAGCCCAGGACTGTGTTCCTGCTCACCCCGACTCATTTTGGTCTGTTCATGTTCAGTAAGGAAAGACCTTGCTCCTGGCCCCTGCCAGACACTCTCAGCTCATCAGGAAGATGACAAACTGGTACCTTTGCTGTGTAATCTCAAATCATCTGGCCTAGAATTCAGCCCCATTAGTAACACAAACCATTTAAATATGTAACACCCACAGCTGGGCATACCTGAGGCCAAGTTCTGGCGAGGTGGCTGTGTCACTCTCTATGCTGTGTTTCTGTTTTCCCATTATGTCTCTCACTGTTAAATCCCACCACTTCCTTGGAGAAAGGTGAGAAAAACTGATGGAAATACGAGCTGAATGTCACTTCCTTACCTGGACTTGCATTTAAAGTAGAAGATGGTAGAAAAGTATCATGTAACTGACAGACTTTGAGCAGCTCAACTCCCATTTACAGAATGCTGAAGCAGGAAGTGAGCATGGCTGTGCGCACACACGTACGGATCGGAGCCTGGCACACACAGCTGACAGGCAGAAATATTCCTAAAATTAAATCTAAATCCCGGTTATGGCTGCATTATGTGATTAGTTTACCTGCTTGCACTTGGCTGTGAACATCCACATTAACTTACCCTGAATGTGAGCACTCTGCCCACCCCCTGGCAGGCATTTCCAACCCCCCCAGCCCCAACATGGTGTACTGACACCTTCTGGAGTCTCCTCCATGATATGCCAAATTGTGGGTCCTGTGGAAGCTGCTCTGCCAGCAATCCTGCCTGCACTGTCTCAGAAAGACTTTGAGCATCACGTTGAAATTAATAATTTGCACCACAGACTGGTCATCAAGCAATGCTATATCCATTCTCAAGTTCCTGTGGGACCAGGAAGAGTGGTAGGGCAAAGCCAGGGGACAGTAACATGGAAATGACGACTGGTGTTATTTGCCCCGTATCTCAAGTGAACAGTAACAGCCTGACCCAGTGCCCGAGGGTGCCTGCCCTGCGTGGCCAGTGTTACCTGCGCTGCGCCCCTCCAACAGCTCCTGCATCCATCCCCAGTCACCCAGGGTGAGGAATCAGCTGGAGGCAGCACTGCACCCTTCTGCCCTGGAGGATCTGGGTGTCCCCAGCCTGTGGGATCCTCAGCTGTAGGATACGTGCCCGACCAGCTGCCAACGCCGCCCTCTTCCCCCTCGTGCCACAAAGCACGTACATGCTATGAATAATCAAAGAGATTAATTGGGGGCAATAAAGTAGGCATATTCATTACAATTTTATAACTTAATTTATATACTAAAGCACAAACTTTAACAGCACTAGTTAATTTACCTTAACTTTATAATGGCATTTACTGGCAGAACGCTTTCTGTATCAGTGGTCATTGGTTCACTTGCTGGGCATATCTGGGTAATAAAAAGTAACTGGTGGGCACTACCAAGTTAGAAAAATATTATTCAGGATTTGTATGTTCGCCAAAAAAAAGTAAAGCACAGGCGCATGTGGTCCACATTTTCTCCAAAATTCAGTCTCTGAATAATCAGGAGCGTCTCGTATTTTTCCAGCCTGCCTAAGCCATGTAAGTTGCTGACTGTGAAAGTCTTTAGCACATGAGGAACAGCTGATGCCACCCAGATCTTACCAATAACGTAAATGTGCTGTGTCCTTACACAATAAAAAGCATTTACTTTAACCTATTGCTTTTAAAAGCAGCTTTTGCTAGTTAACCAAGTGTGGTTAGTGACTTGGCAATGAAGTCGGCACGTTCACTGGACAGGAACATTTCCTGGTATAAGCTCATCTGAATGCCAAAGAAATGCCTGATGCCAAACCATTATTTTTTATTGTGAAATAAAACTATAAATAAAACAATGTTTTTCTTCCTATATGATGCTTGTATAAAATGGATATAGAAAACAAATTTTCCTTACCAAACACTGTAAAATTTGGCAGATAACACATCAGCATCTGCTACTGTACAGAAACCAATAGGTGTTTCATTTATTTACACAACAGCTTTGGGTAGAGAGTTATCTGTGCAGAAAAGCAGCAATGAACTTCAGGGAAGTAATTTGCAGAAGCAAAATAATTTTTAAGACTTATTTTGCATTATCCAACACTGAAGTTCAGTTTCCTCATTTGGTTTTCATAATAAAAATGTTGCTGTTTCATTCTTTAATACATTCTTTAAGTAAAAGGAAGGCGTGTTCCTGTGACTTGAATCAAAATCAGATGTGGGCTTAAGAGGAGAAAAAAACCAGAGTATCTCCATATGATCTGCCTTTACTGTCTGCCATTTCAATAAGCTCTTTAACAAGATCTAGACTATGCTGGGTTGCCAGCAGACCTATTCCTAGAGAAGAAGAGCCACTTAAGAAAATACCCTGCACAGCCCCAAAGGGGTGTTTTAGTTGGTAAACAGCACTGTGAGTCTGAAGTGTGCTACCTCCAAAAGCTATCCCTAGATGAACTGCTGCTCTGCTTGTCCGCTTTCTAAGGCAGCCAGAACGTTATGGGTATCAACTCTCCTGTTGACAATCATGTAACATCTCTGTATCAAGAATGAAATAGAATTAGGATAATATTTAATACCACTCAGCAGCCAGAAAGTAGAGAAGAGTCAACCCTGATGTTGTCATTCAGCACACTAGAGGTTTAAGTGCAGACTAACAACACTCTGAAAAACAGTGAGATTATTAAAAAAAAAGTTCTTGAGTTCCTGTTCTGTTCATTATTCGCCTACGTTCATTATGCAGTTCTTAAAGCTACACCTTTCCCATCAACACGGTTTGCTCTTTGGATGCAACCTAGCAGACACTCACCTCTGAAATTCATGCTGTCCTTGCTGTTCTGCAGTATTCCAGCAATATGTTCTGTTGGAACTGAAATGTCACTCTTCCAGCATACAAGAAGCTCCAGACACTGTGAAATGCTGCAATCTTCCTCCTTGTAGCAAAGAGCCCCCTGTAAGCATAAACTGATATCCCCTTGGCTTCATTTTTGGTATGACATTCCATATCAAAAGGTGACCAAAGCTTCAGGATGAAGAATTATGGTCAGTCACCAAGTGTTTTTTTTGGTCATAATGCACAGGCTCAACTATAGGCAAAGAATGTCGTGCAGAAAAACTCTAGAAGGTGGCTGAAGACTGCAAGATAAACTCCCACAGGACAAAAAAATGACCATCACAAATCTCACCACCTCCTCATTCCTCTAAGATGCATCCTTTAATAATATTTTTCTTAGCTCTCAGAGCACTGCAGTATGCATGCACACATATGTGGTATGTGAACTGCCTCCTCTGAGGAGTTGTGTTTTTTTAATCTAATTTGGCTCTGGAAAAAGTTTGATTTTGCTGACCACCACCACCACAGTGACTTCAGTGGGTATATTCACCTACAAAGACAAGGAACCTGCAGGCCTGCACAGACATGCATTCAGCAAAACCTCACTGTTAATTTCACAGGGTATGTGCCCCTCATTCTAGAAAAGACTTTCAGCAGAACTGCACCAGCAGTTACAGAAGTTATAAACAGCCCAAGCCACTGGTTTAGGTTTTTTTTTAAATGTCCCAAAGAGAGGAGTTCTATGTGAACAATTCCCTTGTTCTGAACTAAGACTGGCAGTCTCTCATTCATCAGGCTGTGTAAGGATGGATCACCTGTTTCACCTGAAGAGCAAATCAGATTATTTACTGCCAGCGCACCATCCGTGGGAGCTCCCTAACCATAATTCAAGTTTTGCAACTTTTAGAGTGAGATACTTCATTTCAGTAAATAACGTATTGTTTCCATGAGAAGTAAATATTCATTAAAAAAATGAATCAATTCTTTAGTAATAGTATTAAAACAAATGCAATTAAC